CATATTGCGAAAAACGGAAAATATATTGTGGGAAATATTCGTAACGAAAATAATTACTTTATTAATAAATATATATTCATTACGAAACGAGGAAAATATATACAACTTTTTTTGTACATATATAAACTATTTTTTCAGAAGATACACACATTTTTATAAATTTGTAAAATATTTGTTTAAGGGAAAATCGCATTCGTGATATTACCGATAAATGTATAATAGTTAATTACATGAAGCAATATTGTTTAAATGTTTATAGAGAAAGTTAGTAAATGTGAGGAGTTCATAGCATCAAAGGATATGTTAGAAGTGAGAAAATGTTTGTTAGAAGAATGTCGTGATATAATTGTTTAAATAATATAATTTTTTAGCAAATAAACCCAAACTCTTTCCAAATTTCAAATCTGATAAATACCTGTTGAGTGTTTAACGGTTCGCCTGAACGAACAATTAGGATCCAACCGTGGATTTTTATGAGTCAGCTTCCGGATTGCGAGATAAAAGAACGATCGCGTATGTGAAGGACCAGCGTGAAATAATGAACGAGACGTTCGCGGGATGAAAGCGACGCGAGAAGTGCTCGATTCGCTGGTGTCTGCGCGACTGATTCAGGAATCGGTTATGAAGCGGCCCCGACGCAGGTTCACATTTACCTGATCAGGGGAGTGAGTCAGAAGAGTCCCGAAGAGAAAGAGAGAGGTGAGAATGGCGTGGAAGGAGTCAAAGCAGAAAAAGGGAGAGGGAGCGAATGAGAACAACAAACGAAGGTGGGGTAGCCAAGGAGCGAGAGAAATCACGAGCGAAGAAAGGAGGATCGAGGATCGTTGGTGAAGGGAGTGGGGGGGGGAGGGGGGGAAGGACTGGTAACAGGTGAGAGAAGATCAGGAACGTAGGCAGCGACGTATTCAAGCCCGCAAGTCGAGAAAGTCAAATGTGAAACAAATTTTTGAAAGATACATCTTAATATTTTCAACAATTCTAAAATATTAAATAAGTAACATGAGTAATTAACAAAATTTTTAGAAATATTACTGCGTACAAGATAAGATTGTGTAATTCATATATTTAAATAACTGAAGATAATTATTAAAATCTCCGAATATTATATTTATTTCGACCTATTTTTTGTGAAAATGTTTGCAATTTTTGCAGTGAAAAATCCTGAAGAAATTTTACATTTGCATACGGTAACGTTATATGATTCTTCGCTTACTTATTTATAATTGTTTATTTACTAATGTCGCTTGCGGGCCCAGCAATCGCGACTACATCGCCGAAATCGGCTCGCAGCAACGTTGCCGGATCAACAGCATCGTGAATGCAGGTTACAGTCTTTCTCAGATACAACATCCTCTCTTCGAGACTCTCGCGCTATCGAAAGGTCTGATAACAGGGGCGTATCGGAGTGACCTGGCGACCGCCGGATCGTTATCGTCCGTCGCTCGGCCGCAATCCTACGATTCGGAAAAATCGCGGCTTATTGTGCGCGCGGGGAGAAGATACGGTGATAAGAGGAGAGAGAGAGAGAGAGAGAGAGAGCATGTGCATCGACATGCACGCGGCTGATGATATAACGAGGCGGTGGATCGCGTGACACCTTCAGCCATGCCGCGCCATGCTTTTTCATGGTATACCGGGTGCACCGAGACGAGCAGCGGTAATTATGGATAACTGTGTACGGAAGAATTATGTCTTCCGGCTGTATTCTATGTTCTGATTTTTGGAATTTAGCATAAAAGGAGTTATACTTTGCGATACATTAATACAGGAATTATGAACTGCATGAAAATAATAATTTTACAGCCGTACGCTATAATTTCTAAACCTGATTTCAAAATAACGGAACTATTTTTATTAATAAAAATAGCGGAATACGCACGTAAAGTTTGCGATATGTTTGGGGGAAAATTTTTGACATTTTCTGTGCTTTGATTTTTCGAATTAATCCGAGAATTAAGAAATTACTTTGTTAAAAATAGGAGAAAATAAAATGCAATGTGTTAATGTGAACATTATTACGTACACGAGAATGCGATAACAGCGTTAGAAGTTCGTCGAACCAGCACGTATTGCGTCACTCCGCAGACCAGTTCGTGAGTGACACCTACGCCTGAAAATCGACGTGTTTCTACAAGTTCGTTAGGACTTTAGTCAGAATAACTTACAAACGAATTAGGCACGATCGTGACACAGTGGAAAATTCTCATTTGTAATTGAATGATGAGATTTCCAATAATCTCGTTTATAGATTACGTACTTTTTTGCTTTACTTTGTGATAATCTTTACTTTTAAGATGTTGCGACAGAGCAACATGTAGTCTAAGAAGAATGACCAACATTTCTTTGATCAATAAAAAAATGACACATATACTAAAAATGTAGCACACAACCACATCAGTAAGTCGTCCAGTCGTCATCATTGTCAATAATAGCCTGGCATCTCCGTACTATAATATTGTAGATAGCACACTGCGCAGAGAGAGATGACAGGCTATTATTGACGACTGGACGACTTACTAATGTGCTTGTGTATTACATTTTGTAGTGTATGTGTAATTTTTTATAGATTTTTTTCAAGTAAGTTTATAATTAAAGAAACGGTCATGTTTTTTTATAGGCATACTGTAATTGCATGGTGTTTAAGAAAGTCCTAGTTTCGCACTTTGTCATAGCAAAAAATGTTTAACTGTTCCCAAAAAATTAAATCTATCATCAATTATTAAAAAAGATTTGATAGAAAATAAGAAGAATAAATTAGTTTCCAATATCATATTAATTTATTAATATTTTAGTTTGCTAGTTCTTGAAATATTAGATTTTAAAAGTCTTCAAGTAATTTTCTATAATTGTTATTTCAAAAATAAATGTGCAAAACCGTTCGTATAATTTCTTTCTTTTTCAACGGCTTCTTTCAATTCTTGTGACTTCAAGAAAGTCAATAGATTCTAAATTAAAAAGACTTTGAAGACAGAATGACGCTTTCCACTAGCTACCGATACATTAGTATGCTAATAAATTAGTAAATTAAGCAGCCAATAAATTAGCACGCGACGGTGCTTCCTGCGGTGATTGCATCGTTGCGCTTCCAATCGACAAACACTCCTTCGACAAATGTCATCGTAATTAACGGAGAAACGTCATTTCCATTTACGACACGCAGACGGGAAGAGCAGGAACGGGAACCGGTCGTTCGACAACTCGCATTTCCAAGAACGAGACTCTTGCGAGATCGCTTAACCGTGGTATCTTTAAACGCGCGCGACAATTGTGACCTACATCGCGAAATCGTAAAACACCGGTCTTCCTGCTCGGGTCCCAGTTTGAATGTCCCCCCGAGAGTCCCCTCCCTCCCGCGTTTGTTCTACGTGATCCTCGGGTTCTGTATAACGGAACGCCGTCCCGAAACTTTCTCCGGCGCGCAGCGACGCGGCCATTAATAACCAGACGATTATTATTTCCTGCCGCAGCCGCTGCAGGCTAAGGTTACTGGGTGACCACGAATACACGATTTGAATTTAGAACAATGCCGGCGAGCGGCTGAAGTCGAATCGGCGGCATTTTAATGGCAATGTTAATTCTCGAAGCAGCTTGAAGTATCTTAGCAGAATTTTTCTTTCCTAAGAAAAAACGTAATTCCTTATAAAGCATCGAAGATTGATTAATTATTTCTTACGATAAATCACTTGTCGAAAAAAACTAACTTTACCGCGTTAACATATTTTATGATGATTAATATTAACTGAGAACGAAAAAAAACTCCATTTATCACTGATGATCTTCATCTCCGTGCAAAAATTGCTAGACGCGTTTCTTACGAAAATTACATCCTGCCGTAACTAAGGCACTGTGAAATGATTCTCATAACGTGTAACTGGTTTCATACGATCCTTCGCGGCTAGGGGGACGTGCTCCAGTTAAGACGGCAACAACAATCGGGCCCACCTGCGCGCCGTTACGCATCCCCGCGTAAAATGATCATAACCGCGCGCGTGTCGATTTAGGTCCCATGATCGCGCTCACAAAGAGACCGTCCGGTTATGTACGTATGGCACTTTCCAAGTATCGTTTTTCTCGCACGATCGAACCGAGCTCCTAGTGTCGGTTTACTTCAGCTTCGGTTACCTTTCGCGGCGCTGGTAAACCGATGCTTGTTTCACTGCAATGCAACGAGATAAAGTAATGGAGATGCAGAGCATCATCTCGTGCACGGCAAACAACAAGAAAATAAAGTACACAATACAAATACTGAAGAACTTGAAAAACGAAAAATTGCTAGACATTATATGCTTGTGAACGAATTACTGTGGCTGCCCGGGAAAGATAAAGGCAATAAAAGCGAAAAAAGACTTGCAGAAAGAAAGAGAGAGAGAGAAAGAGAGATCGGTTCCACAATGAAAAATTAGCTCAACAAGATTAGCACAATTAGTAATAAAATGAATGAAACGTATATAAAAGAAGAATGTACAGAATGTAAGCTAAAATTTCTTTATAATCCATCTTTATAATCGATCTTTATAATCCATCACATTTGATTGTGTTTATTATGCATCATTTCAAAAAAAATAAAAGCAGATAACAATCAAGTTTATTACTGAATTACAAAGGGTATCACATATAAGTAGACGATGTAAAAAAAAACGATATGGATCACCCGTCTATTTCGATTAATACAATTTTTGAATTTTATTAAAAATTGAAAGAAAGACGACATAGAATTTTTTACCGGACTAAATTGATTTAAATAAAATTGTTGAAATCTGTGAAAAATAAAATTTGCGTGTGTTGCGGGTTGATTCGTTTCGCCCTTCTTCTCTTTATACGCCCGCCCTTAATTATCTTAATTATTCTAATTATCTTAATTCGCGTAATCATCGCTCGCACCTGCATCGTCCGCAATATTTATACGCGCTGAGGCGCGAATCAGACATAATAAATGGGGTGGACCGGTGCTAACATGAGGCATTTCCGGTTGTTGCGCGGATGTGCGGCCGCGTTTGTAGGAGAGCGACGGGGGTTGCGAGGGTAGCGACGCCGAGATGATCGGTAACGGGCGGCGCGGCGGCGTCGCCGGCGAGCGGGATCGCGATTTGGACGAGGATGACGAGCTCGAGTGCAGGGAGGAAAGGAGCTCGGAGAGTGGAGGCGGAGGTGGTGGGGGTTTCGGTGGTTGGAGGTCCCACCTGCTCGGTGGCCTTACGCAACGCGTCAAATCCTGGTACTGGGGCGCCAGGCCCCTCGTAAGTTTTCCCCATTCAACGAAACACACACGCACACACACCTATCGCACATATAAACACTTTTTCTCTCTCAGACACGCACGGTTTTTATCTCTTCTTTTTCGTTTCTTTTTTCTCTCTCGTCTTTTTAACGTCGCGGCTCATCCTCTCCGCCGCCGTCCGACATTTCGCACCAACTCGCTGCGGAGCGGAAATGAGGGAAGATAAATTGGAAGAGAAGTCCGCGATCTTCCGTTGAAATTGAGTTTGGAAGATCCTTCTCATTGTTTTAGATATATACTTTTGTACGAGCATTGTCCACAAAATGTAAGGTACAATTGTGTGTAAGGTAATCTTTAATATTATACTTTTAATGTACTTACGTATAAAATAATCTTATAAATTTTCGATATACACGAAAAAGTTTCTTCACAGAAAGCTTGCACTTTGCTTTGTTTTTTAACAAAGTTATAATCTCGATTAATTCTTTGAGATATATCGATAAAAATATTTCACGTTAAAAATAAGAAAAAAGTTATAATTTTCTTGTACGATAACAGCTATTTAATTTCTTAATTTCTGTAATTGTAAAATCTTCTGTAAAACCTTTTTCATTTGAGAAAGTAATGGAATTTCATGTTTTTTAATCGTCTCTTTTTCCAAATCGAAATTTTATCTTATTTAATCACTTATTCTTTTCATTTATATTTATTTCTATCTCTAATTGTGATTTTGATGTTCTTAATTCCTTCAATTGTAATTTCCAATACGATGTTTTATTATATGTCTATTTTGCTTCAAGAATTTTTGAGAATTATTTCATACGACCTATCTATAAAAATGAGAAACGTGAATGCGATTCGATAATCGATCATATCTCGATGAGAAAGAAGTGTATGCAATCAATGCAACGAGCAGCTATTTTCGCATCGGAGAAAAATGTGCAGAAACACTCTATCCGGATATCTCGCCGGAAGTCTCGATAACATCTCCGCGAAAAATTACAATGGCGAAATTGCAATCGAGTTCATCGCTGTTGCTACATGTACTCAATGACATCATTAGAGACGGGGAAAGCGGTAATTAATATTGCGAATTATTTATAAATATTTTACTTCATTGTCTGAAGACGGATAACAATTAAGCTTCATTAAATGTACTAGAGTTATTAGCACATCATGTAGAAATCAATATCTAGATAAATATCTAATTGTAAGTATGACATTTATTTCACTATTTTTCTAAAATGTATTTTCTTTTACTATTTTAATACTAATTTACTTCTTAAAAAGCTCCACAAAATTTCATTTATTGCTTTATTTACTGTACTCTATTAAATTAAATGTTTGTTAAATTTATTATTACTTTTAAAAATAGGAGTTCCAAGAGTTTTCCTTTCAGCACGAATGGTCGTGTGCTACAATTTAATTGTAAGTTATAGTATAATTGGCCAAAAGAAAATAACACAGAAAGGTGGACCGCAGCGTGACAACAAAGTCTCGTAATAAAAATCGCATTATACTGGAACAACGAGACATTATAAACTTCCGGCGAGGTTACATCGCAGTTACATCGATCGCATTTGTAACATCCGACTCGCGCTTACGCAAAATAATATCAAAAAGAAAAAAAAACTTTGCGAATCACACAAAGTCTTTAGAAAAAGCAAATAAGATAAGATATAATTAATCAGTAATTATTTCACAATTACGGGCGCGTGAGATTATGTAATTCTCAGAAAATCAAGATTTTCGCAATTTTTTATACATAAAACTTTTTTAATCTTTCTTAATTTTAATCGATAAATTAATGTTTTTTATTCTCATCGATAGACAAATTCCTTACTTTATTCGAACAATTTTATTCTAATCGAAATGCGAGTCACGGCGAAACGCGGCTGGTGGAGAGGAAGGGAAATAGGGGGAGAGAAGCAACTCGGATGATCGCGACAGGACGGAAATTGATGCGATTCGCGAAGCGCCACCGGAAACGTCTGTTCCCTTCGGCATGAGTTTACTTCCTAATTAGATCTCTCTATCTCTCTCTCACACCACATATATATTTATACGATCAAGTAATCCTTGTGCTCCTAGAGCTAGCGAAATTTAGTCGAGCATATAGCGTTAGGTGTTGTACGTGTTTTTTATCTTAGATGGTGTTTTGCACATGCTACTTTTTTACGATTTGTCCTTACTTATTCTAGCACGATCACTATATTTACAGTTATACGTATATACAGAGCGTCTCTCTCTTTCCCGTATCTCCGTCCGTCGTGTCGAATTTTAACGGACGAAAGTCAAGTCAATTTTTCTTTCGCGAAATCACCAAGGAAGATCCAGTTAATGTAATTGGATTAAAACAGCGACGATTTGAATGTGAATTGAAAATTCACAAGAGACCGAATTAGAAATTCGTCAGCTATTACGCAAGTGTATACTTTGGGAGGTGAAAATAAGATAAATTTTATCTCTGAGAATGGAGCAGATCTTTTTCACAAGAATTTTACGCGATGCTCCCTTAATTGCGACGCAGAGTAATCTATCTTCGCTATGAAATTTTCACTAATTAGTTGCCTTCAACTTTGTCGCGATCGAGTCTCGTCGAGTCTCCGTCGTTAAAAACTCGATTGGCTGAGACGTTCTATATATACACACGTATATACGGGCACGGGGTTGTATATGCGCTATATATTCATATAGATGTCTTGGCATGCACGATCACTTTACTCACATAAAAAACTGGAAGGAATTTTCGCGAGAGAGGAAATATTTTCACGTGATTCCCCGCGAGATATTTTCGCAATGTGTTCAACGATATCAATTGCTTTAAATAATTCATGATACCAATGTCTTCTAGCAGACTATTTGTTAGCAAAGATAAATCTTGTGACGTGGAAAAATTGGATTGAATGAAAAAAGTTGAATTAAAGAAATGACAGAAATAACATCGCGAGAGGAAAGTCGTTTTCATCAGAACGCTGAGAAATTTTATCCGGGATTAATCAATCTCAACTTTCGCAATATAAGTTTTCCGGTGTAAGTACAAAAATCGTGGGCGGATGCGTCGAGCAGAAAGAGAAATTTCCGGCCGGAAAACTTCAAGCGGATTATCGCGCGAGAAGAGTGAGATGCATTGTGTCACGCGTGCGTGGCGCAATGTATTCACGCACTTTCACCGTTCTCGTGTTGCGTTTCTCGCGAAGCGGCAAGTCGAGCTAATTAACGCGATCTTCTCGCCTTTCGACCGTGAACTCGACAGATCGGATGGCTGATAAGAGAAATGCTAAAAATTAATTATTTTCCATATTAATAACTAATTAATTAAAATAGTTATTTTAGTGTAGCCCAGTATGATATATCCCGCACACGTAATTAGTATAATTAAAGTTTGATCAATTATTTCGTTAGAATAGTTATCCAACTTTGATTTAGATTAACACTTAATTAGATTTCCATACTATTGTAATTAAAGCCCGGTCAATTATTTTCGTGGAGTATTAATTAAAATTTGACACAGTAAAGTGGATCCTCTACATATTGTTCATTGAGTAACATCTATTTATTATTATGTACTGAAAAAATCCCATTTACGTAGTCAGTTATATACAAAGTATGAACAGTATTGAGATGAGAATCGATTATCAAAATTACCCCAGCTGCATGAGTGTCAAATGGTAGTTTAAAAAGATTTAAGAATATTTAGCTCGATAAATATATATAATCGGGGTCTTTTCTATCTCATATCTTCTAACTTAAATACATATTTTTCTATTATTATAATATACATATAATTTATTTATCTCATAACTTGTATTATATGAGATATTTTTTATCTTTTTACAATTTCTATTGTTACGCATATTTTTTCCTATCAATTTGAAAAGGAGCGTTTGATCGAAAGAAAAATACATGCAACATAAATAAAACATATTCATATATTAATAACAAATATACAAAAAAGAGAAATTTGTGTAAAAATATAGCGAAAATAGAAAAGACCCGATAATTGTTCTTAGCAGCGTAATTAGTATTGCAGACTTAGTCATACAACGTGGGATCGTATATAGTTCGTTAGCTATTATAGTTGAATATCGGCGATTGGATAGTCAATAGTGTTCGCGATTGGAAACTGTCTCTGCTGTCGATGTGTGCGTCGTTTCTCCGCTGCGCATTCGAACGACGGTAAGCCGGTTGTGTCGTGCACAGAATCGGAGCCGACGACGGCGAGCAAATCTAGCGGACAATTAGAATGCGACAACGACAACACGACCGCGCCACCACACCACCACCACTACCACTACCACCATTCTCTTTATCTCTCTCTCTCTCCGAGCACCACCAACACCCAACTGCTACCAGCCTGCCATCAGCAAAAGCATGACTCAATTTTTCGATATATATACATATATATATATATATATATATTCTTGTGATCTATATATTTATCATATACATATCGATATATGTATAGCCGTCACTCGCGTATGTGTACATTATATGCTCGCGCGTCAGCACATACGATTCACATACATGCACATAGGTAATGTGATACTGCACGCAAAAGGAAAAGCGGAATGGAACAATGCAGTTGAATCGCGGAAAGAGACGATAAAACTATGTAAATAATTCTGATATTTTACCGTTAAAATATTTACATTTCTCTATGCACTGTTAAACTCTTTCTAATAAAATTAAAATATATAATAAGAAAGGTAGAAAAGTTTTACTATCATTGTTAAAATATCTTCCTAATTTTTATCATTAAAAGTTTGCTATTAAAATTAGAATAGTAAATAAATACTCTCTTGTCGCAATTAAAATATCTTTCCACTTTTTTAATATTATTCCTGTTTGATTTCCAGCACGCTAGATAAGGCATGCAAGATGAGAAAGTATCGAGAGAATAGTTAGATTGCACTCCGAGAATGCTATCAAAATACACTTCTGTCTATCAGCTTCCGATCAGCACTTTCGCATTTTACATCGAGATTAATGTTCCACGGAGAAATGTACTGCAAACTTGCGGGAGTTCGAGAACATTACAATAACATCTCGCATTATATATACATCTAATGCCGGAAGCTGCGTGAAGACTACCAGAACGCTCTTCCACCGCAGCGTGCACGCGATTACGCTAGCATAAGCCTTCTTAGCTCTTATGTGCTATCATCGTACATGTGTCTGTGCATCGAGACGAATTTCCGGATGCGCAATAGCAACCACGTTTAATTTTATTAATAAAATGACCAAATCTGAAATTGCGAAGAACGAAAATAATAAAATAATAAATAATTCTACAATATTATGAAATTATTAACTCAAAATAACCAAAAGATTCGGAATCCAAAATCAAATTTATTTCGTTCCTATATAAAATATATAACTCGAAATAATTTAGGATTTTAAATTTGAAATAAAATTTGGCCTTTAATAGAAAATTCTAAAGTTGGAAGCTTCATAACTTAAACATGACTTCACATTCTACTTAATATATTTATTATTTTCCCATTCTAAAATATAATCGAAAGATTTGGCATACAACTTTCGGTTGCTGTCGCGAATCCGGCAAGATGGCCGCAGGAAGGGGCCCGATGCTCAATCGCCGCCGTGCGAATACAAGCTATGCCCGTTCCAGGAACTCGCGCACAAGCTCTCGCGGAGCTTCGACATGCAGGAGGCACAATTGTTGGAGGAAGGTGGCGGTGCCGGTGGCGGGCCCGCTGGCGGCGGGACCGCGGGCGGCCCGCCACGGCGTCATCACAGCGTGCAGCGGCTGTCTCGCAACGAAATGTCGGAACGCAGGGAGGAGGACGGCGCCCTGGTGGTGCCGGATCATCAAGGCAACCTGCGCATCACCGTGAAGAAGACCAAGTCGATCCTCGGCATCGCCATCGAGGGCGGTGCAAACACCAAACACCCACTGCCCCGAATCATCAACATACATGTGAGCCCTTTTCTATCTTTTTTTTTCAGAAGAATGAATCAACAAGCTTTCAACTAATTTAAAATCGAAAATTTTAGATTGTTTTTCGAGAAATCGCAAAGCTAGACTGCCGACAAAAACAAAGTGTTGTAAAACACCTAAGGAAAACTATTATGCACCCAATTAATATTTTTTTAAAATATTTCAACGAGATATATTTCGTACAAGAGTTCGTATATCAGGCACTCAATTATCTCGCTAAATGAAGTTCGGTTTCGCCAATTAATTAATATGCGTCGAACAAATTTACGGCCAGCGTCACTTACAGAGGCATAAACAATATTACCCCGCAAACGTGACTAACGCATGCGGTAATTTGTTGCAGGACAACGGAGCGGCTTACGAGGCTGGTGGCCTCGAAGTCGGCCAGCTTATCCTCGAGGTCGACGGTCAGAAAGTTGAAGGTAATACCGGCAAGGCCAAAGTACGATAGATCTTTTATGTTACTACATCTAATTTTTTCCAATAAAACCTATCTTTCAGATTTCTACAACAAGAAAAAATCTATTGTCAAATTTCAATATAAAAATGTTCGTGAACCTAGCATATCATTTTCCAGCAGATCAAAAATAAAAGAGAGTTCTTGTCGCATGCAGTCGAGTTCTATAGTTCCTTATAGTTTTAGTTAATAGTTCTGGTGATTTTATCCTAAAAAAACAACCAATCGAAAAAATAGATCTGCTAACTTCCCGTAGCAGATCAATTTTCTAGCAGATCAAAAATAAAAGAGAGTTCTTGTCGCATGCAGTCGAGTTCTATAGTTCCTGATAGTTTTTAATGATAGTTCCTGGTGATTTTAATAAAAAAAAAC